ACAGGCTGAAGCTTGTCTTTGGATCCATACCTCGGACCGTGATATGCCAATTTGGTTTAATCACTTGGTTTAACAAGCTTTTCTGAATGTATAACCACGCAGAAGCCTGTGATTGGCAGGATGTTCAACCCTACACAATGTATCTGATCTAAATTGTTAGAGCTTTCTGAGCTTATAGATTTGTCCCAAAGGTGTGTGTTTTTTACAATAAATGAATGAGTATTGAATACTCAAGGTATGGTCCAATAATACCCTGTTGTATAGTCCCAATGACAACTGGCTGAATCAGTTAAGAACTTTTAGTGGATTTTCCATTTTTTAAAAAAAATGTTTTTAGTGTTTATTTATTTACTTTTGAGAGACAAAGAGGGAGCACAAGCAGGGGAGGGAGAGAGAGGGAGACACAGAATCAGGAACAGGCTCCAGGATCTGAGCTGTCAGCACAAAGCCTGAGATGGGGTTTGAACCTGGGAACCATGAGATCATGACCCCAGCTGAAGTCAGACGCTTAACCAACTGAACCACCCAGCTGCCCCTCTTCCATTTTCTAAACTATGCCTCCCCCTTTAAAAATATGGTTCTTAGGGGTGCCTGGGTGGCTCAGTCAGTTAAGCATCTGACTTTGGCTCAGGTCATGATCTCACAGCTTACGGGTTCGAGCCCATCGGGCTCTATGCTGGCAGCTCAGAGCCTGGAGCCTGCTTCAGATTCTGTGTCTCTGTCTCTCTGCCCCTTCCTGCTCACACTCTCTCTCTCTAAAAATATAAATAAACATTAAAAATTTGTTTAAATGATAAAAAAATTTAAACAAAATAAAAATATGGTTCTTAACATCTACCTTTTTCTGCAACTTCCTGACTCACACTTTGCTGCTTTTCAAAACTGGTGATATATCCATGAACATACTGGATAAAGAGAAGCAGACTCTCCAGGTTAATGTGAAAGCTGCGATGAATTTATAATCAGAGGACAAGAGTTGTTGTGTGATTCCCTTCTCATGCAACAGAAAACCAATTTACTTAATTGCCTGTGCTTAAGCGTAATGTCATCTTGTAGGGCTTACTGTTTTATACTGATGGGAGAATATTAAGTTACTAATGGCGTAAGTCCATAAAAAAAATTCATAGGCCATGAACTAGCATGCTAGAAAAAGAACAGATTTGGCAGGCGGTAGAATTAATTTATGAAATGTCATGTTTTAGATACCTGACTCTTGTAAACAGATGATTTTATACCTGATGTAGGCCCTATCATTCAACTAAGAACAGGTAAATTACATTAAAACCGCAAATATTCTTAACTCCAAGCTCCTCTTACAGAAAGCAGTCATCTGGCTCAGTCTGAAGTGAGCACTTCCTCAAGAATGTTTGATGAATATTAAAATCAAATTACTTTGGGCTTTTAGTCTCTTGTTATTTCTTTAGCATTAGTGAAAATAGAGGACACTCTATGCAATAAAACACCATCAACAGTTCAAAATCCAGGTAAATCACAAACACCGTTATCTACACTAGACAGCAAAGGTAACTAATGTTTCAAATCTAAGAACTAAGGTTAGGACAAGAGCTGAGTTAGAAAAGAAGCTTTTTCCAGAATTGATAATGGGACTTTATGAAGGTAACATTCTAGTCTTTTCTCTTTTCCTTTGCCTTCCCTCAGGGAAAGGACGAGCCCTAAGCATGGAAGAGAGTTGCCTGAGAATACTGGCATACGCCTTTTCTTACTGCGACAGAAGAAATTTGTGACTTTTTTTTTTAAAAAAAGGGTATTTAAAGTAATGGTGAAAGAAATGCTTGTAAGTTGTAGCCACTGGTGAAGTCCTCCCAGGCCTTGAATTGGTCAGAATAATTAGACACCAGAACTTCTAAAATGGAATAAGCCAGGTAAGAGAAAATGGAAAAGGCAATGAAACTGCACATAACTGCGGCTGGTATCTAAACATCACCACTTTTTTATTTCTTGTAAGAAACCATCTGCAATGTTTACTAGGGCTGCTGTAACTAAGTGACACAAACTGGGCAGCTTTAAACAACAGAACTTTATTCCCTTTACAGTTCTTGAGGCCAAAAGTCTGAAGTCAAGCTCCCTTTCTAAAATCTCTAGGATAGGACCCTTCCTTGTCCCGTCTGAACTTCTGGAAGCTCTAGACATTCCTTGGCCTATGGAAAGATAGCTTTAATTTCTGCCTGCATCTTCACATTGGCCCTTCCCCTCTGTGTCTGTGTCTTTTTTTTTTTTTTCTAATTGTATTTATTTATTTTGAGAAAGAGAGAGAGAGAGAGAGAGAGCGTGTGCGCGCAAGTGGGGGAGGGGTAGAGAGAGACACACATCGAATCTGAAACAGGCTCCAGGCTCTGAGCTGTCAGCACAGAGGCCCATGCCAGGCTTGAACTCACAAACCACGAGATCATGACTTGAGCTGAAGTCGGACACTTAACCGACTGAGTCACCCAGGAGCCCTGTGTCTGTGTCTTTACGTGGTGTTCTCCCTATGTTTGTGTCCAAACTTCCCTCTTAAATTTTGTTTTCATTGAGGTAGAGTTGACATACAATATAATATTAGTTTCAGGTGTACCACATAGTGATTCTCCAATTATATACATTACAAAATGCTCACCACAATAAGTGTAGTTAGCTTCTGTAACCATACAAAGTTATTATAATATTATTGACTCTATTCCCCTACACTGGATTTTTCATCCCCACGACTTACTTATTTTCTAATTTCAAGCTTGTACCTCTTTATCCCCTTCATTAAATCTTCTTTTTCTTATAAGGACATCAGTCATACTGGGCCCATATCAGGCCCATTCTACTCTGGTAGGACATCACTACAACTTAACTAAATGTATCTGCAACAGCCATAATTCAAATAAAGTCACCTTCTGAGGTACCTGTGTAAAGAAATATATTTTCTGCACCTCGTTTACTGTCAACTACCACACTCGTACTTAGAACACAGCACAACACTTCTGACATCGTGTGTGTGGGTTCTCCACACCAAGTAATCCTTGGACACAAGTTGATGCCTTATAATTCAGTTCTGAGGCTATCTGCCTGGAGTTGGCACTGGATCCCATGAGTTAAGAGCTGAGTCCCAGAGGACTGGCCACCATTTAGACACCAATCACAAGTCTCAGACAGTTACCTAATCTTCTGATCAACTAGCTGTAAATCGGGGTTCCCATTGCACTCTGCTTGGGTTCAATTATTTGCTAGTACAGCTCTCCAAACTCAGGGAAAGATTTATCTACATATATCTGTTTATTGTAAAGGATATATACGTAAGAAAGGGTGCAGATGAACAGCCAGATGAAGAGGTTCACAGGATGATGTTCAGGATGGTCCTGAGTGCAGGATCTTCTGTCCCAGGGGATTTGAAGGGTGCCACCCTCCTGGCAGGTAGATGTGTTTACCAAGCCAGAAACTTACAAAACTCCACACTTTTGGGATTTTTGTAGAAGCTTTATCACAGTAGGCCTGATCAATTATGAACTCAATCTCTAGCTCCTCTTCCCTTGTCAGAGGACGAGTGATAGAGCTAAAACTTGCAAGCTTCTAATCATGGTTTTTCTGGCGACCAGGCTTCATCCTCAAGCTGTTCAGCAGTTCACAAAGAGTCACCTCATTAGACCAGAAAACTTCCTATCACCCACGAAATTCCAAGGGTTTTAGGAGCTCTGTGGCAGGAACTAGGGGCAGTAACCAATATATTTTATTATTTCACAATTAGACTTCAGGACTTAATCTTTTCTGGGGGCTGGCAAACAACTGAAGTCATAGCATTACCCTTTTAAGTTGCACACGGTACTAATGTGTTGTTACACCTGTCTGTATGTGTATCTACATTTAATAAAAAATAAAATCTTTGTCAAAAAATACAGCTGAGTTGTCCATCGTGTCATTTTTTTTAATTCAAAGGACAAAACTTGAACTCTACTATATACCATTGACGTCTTAGCCAAACAGAATGAAGCTATCCCTGAGTCAAAATGAAGAGGCCTCCAAGGGCAACTGGCCTTGTGATTCTGGATTCACAGACATATGCCCAGCTGGAGGGAAGGGGGAGGGTCTGCTCTTAGTTTATGTGGCCCACCAAACACTGTGGTCACTTCTTTTTATTTTTTTAAAGTTTATTTATTTATTTTTTAGAGAGAGAGAGCAGGGCAGGGGCAGAGAGAGAGGGAGAGAGAAAATCCCAAGGAGGATGTCAGCACAGAGCCCGATGTAGGGCTCCAACTTGTGAACCATGAGATCATGACCTTAGCCGAAATCAAGAGTCAGATGCTTAACCAACTGAGCCACCTAGGCACCCCAGCACTGAGTCACTTCTTAACAGTTCTCCTCAAAGTATCAGTTCTTCCTTGAAATCTGTAATTATTTCTGAGATAGAACCATCACAAATGAGGAGAAAGAGTGGAACGTAAGAAAAAATTTGTGTTTTGGGCACATACAGATTTAGGCTTGAATCTAGGTTCCATAGTGTCTAGCACAGTGACCCCAGGCAAGTTAATAAGCTTTTCAAATCCTTAGTGTGTGCATCTGTGAAATGAAAATCCTCACTGCTAATGCCCAGAGTGATTTCAAGGATCAACGTGGATAAAGCCCCTGGTTTGATACAAAGGAGGCACTGAGTAAATGTGACTTGGTTCAACTTCATAATATATATGGCAAGTTGAAAGTCAACACCTTATAAGAAAACTTTCTTCTTCCATAGGGTGCTAGTGACCAAATTTTCATGGTGATATGTATAATTAAGTATTTAATATAAATACAACAAATATCACTTTTAATTAAAATTATAATTCACAGGTAGAAGTCACTGTGTTTGCTTTCTGGTAACTACAATAACAAAATTAGATCAAAACAGAACTGGGAATGAAGATTTACTCACAGTGCAAACATTCTCAAGCATCACATATGTGCCAGGTGTTCTTTTAGGGACGATGGGACACAGCCACAGGTGATAGAAACAGCAGGAAGGAAGTGGCACAACTTACCCCACCAACTTTCTCAAAGTGAGATCCATCTTTCTTAAAATCTGTGAGGGCTCCATTGAAATACCAGGTAAACATGATGTCTAGCAAGGGATCATGTTGCACTTGGCAGGGCAAAATGACACTTTCGCCAACAGAGACATCCATGTTGGATGGTGCCAAAGTTATTCTCGTTGGTTCTGTTAAGGGAACAATAAAGTTTTAAATAAAATTGTAGTGTTTTTATTTTGATGAAAGCATTTTCACAAGCTGATTTCTAACCTAACATGTAGTGTGCATAATTGAAAGTCTTCAACATTAATATAGACATTTTTATGCAGATTTGTAATGTATTTCTTTGGATCCACAAATTCTTGTTAAAAGAATTAGGAAATTTGAATTTATAGGATACATCAGTTTAAAAATTAAAGTCACCTGTAAACAAGGTTCTAATACTACTACAAAATCAATTTTAACTTAGTTTTACTGCTTTGTGAAATATAGGGGTAGAAAGAGAAACCACTGAATTTTCACTAACTTTGAATGACTCAAATGCATTACTACCAAAATTTAAATACACTCAAACATTTGAAAGGCCACACAAAAGACATCCAGAACAGGTACTGTAAGAGGGATACTAAGTTAAAATGCTAATTAAATGCCTGCTTTTCCCTAAATGTCCACATGTGCATTTCTTTCTTCCTATCATTAACACAGCCCTTCCAGCTGTTCTGAATTAAACTTCTTTTGACCCCACTTTTCCATTGCTACTCATTTGTTGACTCCATATTGCAGCAAAAGTCCTCCAAAGAATCATTTATGTATACTGTCTACAATTCCTCTAGTAAATTCTCTCTCTAATCCACTCTTGTTCGGCTGTGGCTTCCCGCAACTTATTTGCTTTTAAGGTTCCCAGGAATCACCCTGTTGCAAACCAGTGGCACATTTTCCAATTTCATGTACTTAATTGATGTTTCAGCAGTATTTGCTCCCTTTCATCACCATCTTCCTGTCAGTTCACTTTCTTTGCTTGGTTTCTGGAACGCGAAACCCTCTTTGTTTTCTAGTACTGTGCTGGTCACTGCTTTGTGGTCCCTCTCCTTTTCCTACATCTGGTAATGTTAGATTGCCTCAAGCTCAATCCTTGGTCTTCTTCTTTTGTCTTCACTCACTCTTGGTGATTTTATCTAGACTTCACTTTTCAAGTACTTATTTGTATGCGAACAACTCCCAAATGTGTGTTTCTATCCTCTATCTGATCTCTCCTTTGAATTCAGGCACAGCCAAATGCTAATGCTTTGGCTAAGGAAATGTAAGATGGAGCTATGTGTGGCACTGACAGGCAGAAGCCTGGAAAAAAGTAAGAGGCCATCTGAAACGTAGTCTTTCCTCTTCCACTGTGATGGGCAATGTGCAAGAGAATGGAGGCACCAGGACCCTTTATTCCTTAATGTAGACAGCATAGCTGACCCACCATGGACGGTGACATAAGCAAAAAGTATTAGCTTATGCTAATATTGTTGTTAATGGCAGAATACTGTGGTCTGCTTTCCACAAACAGCGCCTGGTGAACATTTCACATTTACCACATCCAAACCGAACTCCTGATCTGCCTCCTCCCCAAAGTGTGCAATCCTCAGCCTTTTCAATCTCAGTTGTTATGATGGTCATTCCTTCTGTTATTTGCCAAACGCCCTGCAACCATCCTTGTCTCCTTTCTTTCTCTTGGGCCTCATTGGTCAGTAACTCCTGTTGACTCTGCAAGCCCAGTATTTGCAGAATCTGATCCTTTTCCATCAACTCCTCTGTTGTCACTTTCACTTGAGTCATTATTGCTTCCTGACTGGTTTGCAGCCATGGTCTTCTGAGATCTCTCCAACTTCTACTCTTGATTCCCCACAGTCTGTTCTCATCAGAGTAGCTACATCAAAAGTTTAAAAATATATTTTACATCATGCCACTCTCTGCCGATTTGCACCAGCCTCTACTTTTCACTTCTACTAAAAGCCAAAGTCCTCACAAGGTCTACAAAGTTCTTCCACGATTTTCCCCCAAAGAATCTATTAGTTAACTCCTCTGTGTCGACAAAATCTCTGTCTAAATCTCTCTTTCTCACTGGGCGTACTCCAATCACCATCTTTCTGCTCCAGCTGACCTCTCCCACACACTACTCTGTATTTTCTCAATTGTTTGCATTTTTTTCCCTTGGATAATTCCCTCACTTTTTATTCTACTGTGTATTTTCTTTCTACCTCCGCTAGAAGGTAAAATTCATGAAGGCAGAATCTTTATCAGTTTATTTACCAACATAAGTCAGGCACCGGACACACAGCAGGTACTCATTTTTTTTTCTCAAATAAATAAACAACATATATGTGCAACTGTAAATGACTCTCATTGATGGTAAGGATTGTTTCATGGACCTCAAAAAATCCAGAAAATATCAATGATATTGTACAAGAGTACATTCAAAAGATCTGACATAACAGAATAGCATAAAATTAGGTCATCAGCATATGCTATTTGTAATTCTTTTGCCTATCATACTTGCACATAACTGATATGTTCCCCTGTGCATACTATGGTATGTAAAGAAATAATAAGAATTGTTCTCTTTATTTCCACCTGTTAAAAATAACAGTGCAAACACAGGTTCTATCTTCATAGTGCACTGCATAGTATAAACAATCTGGTTTTTTCTTTGCTCTTAATAACATACCATACAGCCCATCTCTACATAAAGCAATCTTTGGGAAATGTACCTACCAGTAACAATCAAGCGCGTTGTGCCATTTGCTTTCCCAAACTGGTTTTCTGCTATGCAGGTATAAGTTCCAACGTCAGCTTTAGTCACATTGACTATTTGAAGTCCTCCATCTTTTAAAAAAGAAATTCTAAAGAAAATACAAATTAGACAAATAAGTGTATATTAGTCATTTTTCCCCAAATAGCAATTTTTATAAAAGTATTGCCTTAAGCTAGTATTTTTATTTATTTTTTATTTATGTTAATGTTTATTTTCAGAGAGACAGAGACAGCGCGAGTGGGAGAGGGGCAGAGAGAGAGGGAGACAGAGAACCCCAAGCAGGCTCTGCACTGCGGTCAGAGCCCAAGGCTGGGTTTGAACCAACGAAACTGCGAGATCATGACCTGGGCCAAAACCAAGAGTCGGATGCTTAACCGACTGAGCCACCCAGGCGCCCCTTAAGCTAGTATTTTTAAGTCCAGTCCTTAGCCTTCTTGGAAATAAAGAAAATTAAAAGAAAAGTTATACACATACACACATGTGCCCACACGTGCACACACATGCACAAAGAGCTGAGTAAGAAAAGATGCTCTACCAATTGGAACTTTTCTTGATATTTTTTATGCAGCCCTACTTAGCAGCATTACTTAACATTTCACTTACTTTCAGGGATGCCTTTATCAAATAAGTGTGAAATGTTTTCTAAAAATATATGGTGTGGTAGATTGCTCATGATGGGTTAGCCTTGTAAGTTTGTAGAAAATAGAAAATAGAGAGGACACTAACTCGCTTAACTTTAAAACAGTTCATGAGAAAGGAGAAACTCTCTTTCCTTTACATAATGAACTTGGGAGAGTCACATTTGACTCCATATAAACTCAAATTTTACACAATCACACGTTCATGGTCACCTGTGAGCTACTGCAAAGAATCTGGGCAATACAAATGAACATTACATTAGAGTTTCTGAGCATATGCTTAAGATACTTAAGGCTTTTGCATCTAACTAATTCATTAAGGAAATACAAATGAGTGCCTTACACGTGCTAGGCATTATGAGACTCTCTGGGATTATAGTGTGAGCAAGAAAGAAAGTCTCCACCTTCACGGAAATAAGTCTAATGAGCAGCTTAGACAATAAATAAGTAAGTGAGAGAAGTTCAGATATTTGGGAAATACTCTGAAGGAGACAAACAGGATGACACAATAAAGAGTCAGAGCTATAAAGAATGTTCCCTTGATAGGGTGCTTCAGAAATGCCTCTGACAAGAGGTATCATTTGGAATAAGAATAAAGAATGAGAAAGGGTCTATCCGTCATTAGTCAGATCCATGAATCTTTACTGCCTATCTTGTCGACCTATAATTATTTTCCTTTCTTTGAATTCCTAAAATCTTCACTACCCATATCATTCATTTAACACTTAGGATGCCTTTTATCTTGTATGGTTCATATCTTTGGTATCTGAGTGTCATATCAATCTAAAGAGAGGGTAAATCTCTTAAAAAGGTTTCCAACCCCAAGTCAGCATGACATGATATAGTAAACCATGGTCAATAAGTGTTTGCAACCTTTAGGCTATACAGTAGATACAAAAGGACGCTGAGGACCTCAGACTATGATGGGATGATCTCAACTCAATTTCTGGATATTATCCTGTTTGATAGAAGATATTGAGGCAAGTGTCAGAAGTGTGGATAGTCCGAGTTTATGTATCAAAAATATACAAGATATATCTTTTACATTACATATGACTATTTTTCATGTCTTTTATATTACATATACATGTACATTCCTTTGATGGCCTGTCATTCACATTCACTCAAATCCTAGTTCCATTTTCTTGAGTGAGAAAGTGGTGGAATCAGAGGCAGCACACACAGACCTGCTCATGATTCTAGGCAGAGTATCCATGAATGTTTGTTGTTCAGGTGATTTGTTGTTTGTTTGTATGTCAAGAAATGTTTGAAACAAAAGGGTTTGAGAACAATGCCCTAGAAAGCTAATCAGGGAACACAGAACATTGTATTTTAATTTGAGGAGCAAAGCAGAAAGGTTAAAAATGCCAAGAACTTTCCTAGGTAGCTGGGACAAAGGTGCTTTATCTGATTTCCTTCATGGAACCCTCACCACTTTACTGGGTATGAAATGCAGGCTGATCACTTTTCTCAAAGAGATGATCGAAGAAAAATCACTTTATACCTTAGCATATCAGAGAACAAAGATTTTCTTAGACAGTGTGCAATAATAATTGAAAGAGGAGACTCTGCAGAGGGGCACAAGCAAATAAAACACTTAGGATATGGAGAATGTTTTCATAAACATAGGGAGTAAATGGAAACAAATGTGAATCTGATCATGAAATTCTGCTATAACCCTCATCCCTGGCTTAGACCGCTTCTCTGGCATTACACTGCCCATAGGAGAAAAATTACACCCTGAGCCCAATACCTATTTTTCATTGGGACCCCACCTCTAACTTTGGAAGGCCTTGTGAATTCTACCCCTTGTTTGCTTTTCTCCAGTCACAAATACCTTCCTTTAAATGCTTTTATGCTTCTTATTGTCTTGGGACCTTTATGCACACTATTTCCTATGTGTAGTTAATGTGTACTTATCCTTCAGATTTTGGCCACTTTCCTGAACATTGGGTCAGATTAGGTGTTCCTGTAAATGATGATAGATCTCCTGTGCCTTTTTTACAGCATCTGACAACTGGCCAATTACATATTTGTGTGCGTCCTTGACTAATTTCTTCCCCTAGTAAGCTCAGAAACTGTAAGCTCTCTGGAGGTAGGAAGAGTATCTACACAGTGTCTGAGTTACTCACTGTTAAACTCCTAGAGCCTCGAACCATTTATGCCATGGACTAAACGTTCAAAATTAATACCTGTTGAATGAACAAATGACTGTGCGTTTAGAGAGTCACTACAGAAGAACTTGGATTAGTGAAGGCAGGTTGCAGAGCATTGAAAACGTTGTAAATTTCAAGGAAATAAATTCAGAAAGTGTTTCAACTATTACACACATACACATATATTACACACATATATATGTGTGTATACACGCACACGCACACACGCGCGCACACACACATATATGCACATGTATATGCATACAGTTTACCCTTGAACAACATGGGTTTCAAGTGTGTGGATCTATTTATTTGCAGATTTTTTTCAATACAGTATAGTACTGTAAATGTATTTTCTCTTCCTTATGATTTTGTTTTTAATTTTGGAGAGAGAGAAAGCATGATTGGGGGAGAGAAGCAGAGGGAGAGAGAGAGAGAGAGACAGAGAATCTCAAGCAGGCCCCACACTTGGAACAGAGCCCAGTGCGGAAGTTGATCCCATGACCCTGGGATCATGATCTGAGCTAAAATCAAGAGTCGGATTCTCAACTGACTAAGTGACCCAGATACCCCTCTTCTGTACAATTTTCATAATAATACTTTCTTTTCTATAGCTTACTTTATTATAATACAGTAAATAATACATATAATATATAAAATATGTGTTGTGTAAGTTATTGGTAAAAGTTATTAACACAATAGCAGGCTCTTAGTTATGTTTTTGGGGAATCCAAAGTTACACTGGATTTTCCATTTTGCATGGGGTTGGTGCCCTTAACTCCCAAGTTGTTCAAGGGCCAACTGTGTAAATATATAAGCAAAACAGAGAAAGATGAGACAATAGAAGGCAGGATGAGAGAATTTAGAAATTCATAGGATAAGAGGACTACAAATGTACTTTTACTATGAAGGAAGAAATTAATCAAGAGGGAGGGATGAAAGTAAAGTGGGGGAGAAAGGGAAGGAGGAAGGAAAAGAAAGACAGTGAGACTCAAGTACTTGAGAAAAGTCTCAGACTGAGTACAAACAAGTGCAATGCTCCCGATCCACGATGATTGCTAATCCTATGTGTAAAACTTTTTGGCCATGACCCTCAAAGAGAATAGGATGTGACCTAGAGCACTGCTCAATAAATTTTACCTACCGTTGCTATCAAAAAAAATTTTTCCAGCTTTGCTGGAGATGTTAATATGTAAAGACAGCAAGCTAGAAGGTGATATCAGAAGGTCTTAAAGACATTTAAATAGTGGGGCAACTTCATCTGCCCTGAATTAGAGGGTGGAGGTAGAACTGGAAGCTCCAGGAAGCTGAGCAATTGACCACTTCCAAGATTAGCAAGCATGAAACCAAAGTAAAAAAGGTCTCTGGTTGACTGAACAAATACCCAGCTTCAGCTTCGACCTTCTGATTTGGGTATCACACAATGGAGACAAGCCATTTCAGTACCTTCACATGCTATGAATTAGTGTAACAGCGAAACTTCCAATACGATATAGAACCATTAGGGATATTGGAAGAATCACAAAACCTGTAGTGTGTAAGTTTTAATAGCTGTAAATGAACAATCCTATCCTCGTGACTATGCTGAGATGAGGAACCGTTTCAAAAGCAAGGCTAACAACTCAGGAATCACATGGACTCCAAAACAAACATATTGACTCTCAAAGAATGCAAACTCTGTACATTGTAAAATTTTGAGCTAATTGGGTATTTTCTTCCTAAATTGGTTCTTCCAGTAAGATCCAAGAGGCCCACAGGGCATCTCACACAACATAAAAATAAACAATATTCAGTAAATGGATGGAGTAATTGTTTCTCAAAAGAAAACCTTCAATAACCCAAGCTTCCCTACAGAGATCCAAAGTGAAAATTTTATACCACTTCAGTATAAATGAAATTGCTTTCTAAGCTTTCTGGGAGCATGTTTTGCTGCAAACGGATAGAGCTGAAAATGTAGATAACAATGAGTAACTCTAAGTCTTGGCACAAAAAGTTAAACAGAGATTTATGAGATTAACATTAAGAAATGGGGTACTCCAGTTTCCTTTGAAAAATGCAGACTTTAAATCACTGTGGCATTTTAACTCCTTGATCAGTTTTACAATATACCTTTATATATCCCATTTTATTACTCTTTCCTTTTGTAATAAAAGAGGTTAATTATTTCACTTAACTTTGTGCAGTCTATGGTTAGTTTGGGATAAGTACACTTAATTGCTCTCAGCTGCTCTAATGGTCCATTCTGTAATGCAGTGATGGCATTGAATTTGACTGTTAAGCAACACTGTTTGTTC